TCGTATTTAGATTTTTCTTTTTTGTTAAATTAAATTTTACCTGATAAAATCAAATGTAATAGAAAAAAAAGATAGATAAAAGGTAACCACATTGATACAAATAGAAATGAACGTTGAACATGACATTTGACTACAAATAATCGTGATCGTTTGTTATTATTGTTTAAATAGATAATAGCTCTTCTTGTTTGAGTATACATAACAATCTTTTAGTTAATCTCTTTTTCAACATCAACTCGAGTTGAAGGAGAACAAATTCATCAGTTTTCTTTTGTCTTTGTTTAGGTAAACATAAATGGTGTACAGCAACAGTTACATTACGAGAAGGTACTGGAAAAGTTACAATTAAATCACCAGCAGTTAAAACATCTGTTCATGATATTCTTTATTTTACACGAATTCTTCATCGGTTTGTATTAATATTTTCCAATAGCAATTCTATGACATTTTTTTTTGTTAAGTGATCAACTTTTATATCCATTTAAAGTATTAGATCGTGTTAATCTATTTGATATGGATGTTACTTATGATGGAATTGGTTTTACTGCACAATCAATAGCTACACGTTTAGCGATATCTAAAGCTCTTTGTTCATTTATTTCATCAAAAGAAGTTGAATATCTTCGATTGGGTTCGAGAATTCAATCTAATATGAAACTTATTTTTGATATTAAAAATTTTTCTTTTAGCTGGTCTTTTAACTGATGATGCTCGACGTAAAGAACGTAAACAGCCAGGTAAAAGAAATGCTCGCCGAAAATATAAATTGTATGTAGAATTATTCAAATAATATTATTTATTTTTTTTTTTATTTTTCTTTTTTAGTCGAAAACGTTAAAATTCAACGAAATATTCTTTTCAAAGATAAATCTTTGTTTATAACTAGAATATTTGTTTTTTTCGTTGATAAAATAAATATAAAAAAACAAAATACCTCAGTCAGTAGATTTATCATGTATAATATTTCGTCGTTTAATTTCTATCGCTGGGGAAATTTAATGGAATTTTTTATTGTATTATTTTTCATCACGTCCTATACATAACAAAAGAAATATTCGTCCGAAAAAAAAACAAAAAATAAAGAAAATATTTTGGTTGTTCATGATGAAAAAACAGAAACGTTTGAGAAGAAAATGAATACAGTTAAAACAGATTATTTAATCATAAGACATTAATTAATATTGAATCTCACTCTATATTCTCGAATTATTAACATGTCACATAAATATAACATTATTTCTTTGTACAAAATAATGATAAAATACTTGTTTATTAACTAAATATTTATTAGCATTTGATACGAAGAAGTCTGGTTTTCTTTTTGCCACACCTCATGCATTTTTGAAATATTTGTATTAACTTCATACATATTATTATCATCACGATAATTATTCTTTTTTTTTCTTGTTATTTTCATTGGCAGGAATGTTTTTTGAAATAGATTATGAAGCATGCATATGTACTAACTGATAACCCAAATGTATTTCTGTTATTTAATTCGGCATTTTTTT